AAAAAAACTTAAGTCTTTAAAAGTATAAACATGTTTTAGAAGTAGAACTATGTATTTATACTTCTAAAAAACATAAAAACATATATTTATACTTATAAAAATATAAAATTTTGTATTTACACTTCTAAAAACATATTTATATATTAAAGATGTAAAAATAGGTATTTATATTTCTAAAAATATAAGAAAATATGTAAAAATGTATTTATACTTCTAAAACCGTAAAAAATATTTTTAAAAATTTAGTTATTTCACCATTTTATAAAAACATAAATACGTATTTTTATGTTTTTAGAAGTAAAAATACATTTGTACGTCTTTAGAATTATAAATATGTTCTAAACCATATAAATAGGCAAAAAAAACATATATAAAGAAATAGCATTTTAAAAAGAAAATATAAATATGATGTTTAATTAAATAATTTTTAGTATATAAATATGTACAAAATACATATTTATATATTAATACGTATAATATGAAGAAAACAAAACACAGCTAATGTAAAAACGTAAAAAAAGTTACAAACTTTGCAAAGTTTATTTTATGATAAGATTGAAGTATGATAAACGATAGTAGAAAACTTCCCATTTTAATGCATTTAAAAATGACCACCCATGACCCATCAATTAATCTATAACCCCATTTTCTTTCATCACCCCTTAATGACCACCCATCGACTGTCAATATGTTATGACACCTCCCTCAAAATCACTAGTCAAACACCCCACCAACAACTCTAGAGATCGGAGGAGGTTGTTTGTGGTTACGGATGTGTTGTTAAAGAAGCTACTCCATCTATGCTAACAACACTTAAAAATGAAAGTATTAAACTATGCGCTGTATTCTAGTTATTAGAAGAATACTTTGCTGGCTAAAATTTATATCTTGTAATAGCTCTATTTTTCTCCAAATTTAAATTCTTCATTTAGTCACAGATACAAATTGTTAATGTTGTTGAGGTTGGTTCTAAATCAAAGAATCAAACAAAAAACATCCCTATTGTATGGATAATCTACTTTAATAAATGAAGTTTTTTTTTGTCACATGTCACATTCTCATTCAATTTGCCAAGTGTTATTTTCTGGTTATTTTGAATTAATTTTTTTTTCACATGTCATTTTATAGGTTTTTTTTTATTTTATTAAATTTCATATAATATTTTAATGTAATAATTAATTAATTACAATAAATATGGTAATAAATAGATATCAATTTCATTAATGGAATTAACTTCTAATTTCAAAATTCCAAAATTAAAGCTTATTCATTTCTTTTGTTTATTTATTTAAATTTTAAATATAAAAAAAAAACATTTTTGTTTTAATAATTCATTATTTTTTTTATTTGCTTATAAATTTAAAGTTTTCAAATACTTAGAATTTTATATCTAACTTTTTTTTTTTAAATTAACTCATGTATTACATGGGTCTCAAAACTAGTACTAAATAAATGATTATTGATTTGTTTCACAAATTTAAATAGACTTTTAACTGTCCAAAATACAGAATAATATATTAATATTACACAAAAAATGTTAAGTGTACTTTGACAATCAAAATTTGTGAAATAATATTCATGATTACTATCAAACACACTTCATAAAGTTACTCCAGTAAATTAAATAATTACCTTAAGCACACTAATTATCATGTGTTGGTGGTGCATGCTAAATCGCTAATCATTAATGGTACCCGATTGTTACTTTTGGTGTACATAATTTATTTTCTTTGTTATCATTTGACAACAATCATAATGAGATTTACATAAGAATATCAAGACCATAAACCAGTTAACGCATCTTTATTGTGAGATATTAGAAACCAAAAACAACATAAATAAATTTTTTTTTATTGTATCATGTGTCTATAAATATATTAAACTTCAATCGCAATTTGTTTTACTAAATAAAATCTCAAATATACTTTTACTTCCCCTTATTTATATAATTTGAAAGTAGAGTTGCACCTGAAGCAACAACCAATTGTGTGGATACCTACAAATATAGTAAACAATCAACAATTGGCAAGCCACAAGTAGGTGAGTATATCTACTAACCACCCACTTTTAAGCTCTATTTCTACATCACAACAATTTTCTACATAAATTTCACATCACTCATGCATTAAATACTTTTACAGTATACACCACTTATACATCATTAGTAAAGAAACATGTAGTAAATGGTTGATGATGTAAACAAAATATATACTCCAATATATTTCTTATTTATTCGATCAAGAAGTAGGTATGACTTAGTACTTAACATTACAAAAACAGAATTCATACATGAACGAATGGTTTTATGATTTTAAATATGAATTAAAATAAACTCGTATGATCACCTGATATACAACCTTTGATCCCTTGCTCCAATATGTATTACTTTGAAAATTCACATTCTTCTGCATTGTGTTCTTCATATCCTTTCAAAAATGTCGATTTGCGACTTGTTTGCAGACTCTATACTATTATATATAAAGAACACCCAAAACCAAGAACACCACAAGATTTTCGGATCTTCTAGAAAAAAACATGTACATACAAGGAACGGAAATACCCATAACTTGATTGAGCTATTGTGCCATTTTAAATTTAATCACCTTTATGCAGCCAACAACTTCAAATTCACAAAACTGCCATTAAATTTTCTTGAAGGTGGTGATTTGGGGTCCGGAGTTTTCTTGATAGCCTCTGAAAATCAGAAACACGATCAGAATTTTACTTAAAGTGCAATTTGTAAGCTTTCAAATTTCGAATGCCAAGTCAATCAAGCTTTTGATTAGGCAATTGGTTGATTATTAATAAACAAAAGAAGATGTTTTAAAGATTCTTTCAACACCCAATTCTAATCCAGAAAATCAAGAACATGGCATTGAGAAACAACAAAGTCAAAGCTAACCCATTTTCAAAATTGAACATATTACACAACTCAGATTTCAAGTTCTTGTAATACATTCTAATCGGTGGTCAAATTATCAAAACTCGATAGCAAAAAAAGTCAAAATAAGAAGAAAGTCAAAGAAAATTTAATTCTGTTTACCTTAGGCACACTCTGAATGATGAGCTGATTATTAACAGACATAGTAGCAACCAAACAATCCCTTGGTGTATCAAACGAAGACAAAGAAAACTGTTTATGCACAACACCCACATCAAAATATATCAAACCGGTACTGGGAATATCGACCCGGATTTCCTTAACAGTAAACCACATGAACAAATCCTGGGCTGAAATACCCGAGACTCCGTCGATCTGGCCATAAGTCAACGTGCCGGAAACATTCCGATCGTAGTGAAATTCATTCTCGAACTTGGAATTACAAGCTTGATCCAAGTGAACCTCAAACCGACCCGAATCGTCAAAAGTGAAATTGGTGATGCCTTTCGGTAACAAACCCATTGGTAATCCGTTTGATCTAAGGATATCGTAGATAGTTGCCGATTGTTTAGAGGATGAGAGACAGAAATGAGTTGAAAGTGAGAGAGTGAAAAGGGCGCTAATGAAAAGTTGTTGAAGAAGAATGTTTGCCATATTTTTTTGAAGTGGGGTTTTCTAGGGCATTGGAGTTTGGGGATTAATTGTTGCGAAAAAAGGCCTTCAGGTGTTGGTGATTTTATGAGAAGATTAGGGTTTAAGGGAATTGAAGGGGAGAGGGGGCGGAGGGTTGCCAGCAAGAATCCAGAGTGGATTAGGAGAATGATCAATTATTGGCCTTGTAAGGAGGGCCGCCTCCACCCAATCAGCTGTAGCCATGTGGCTGGTGGTGCAATTACATTCTTAATTTTCCAAACAATAATTATAATTATATTGTATGCTCTTTGCTGTTTTTTTGGCTTAATTATGTGTGGTTTGATTTTGGTTTAAGGAAAAAAAGAGTTCATATTCTGAATAATCTGAGTCCTTTTCTTCTAGATTTAATG